GTTTTAAATTTGTTGTTGTTATGTGCTGTCAAGTTGGAACTAACTTATAGTGACCCTAATAGGGCTTTCAATGTAAGGAAGGTATTTAATGAGTGGTATTACCAGTTCCACTCCCCAGTGAGCTTCCATGGCTAAACTGGGATTTGAACCCAGGCCTCCTGAGTCCTAGTTCACCACTCTATCCACTAACCCATACCGGGTGCCTACAGATTAGAGACTGCAATATCCATCAGGATGAAGAAAATAGGTCAAAGCCCTTATTCAAAGAGCAGTTTTCCTTAAACCTTCCTTGTCGATTTTTATATTTTGAACATCATGCTTTAGCACTCATTAGCCATCTGTCAACTAATGACAGATATATTTACAAGTTTCAGATTCTGTTTGTCAGCCCAGTCTATTCAACTCATGATCATAACGTAGTGCACACTAATTACCACATGATGAGCTGTTTGCAATTAATACTATACTTATATTGGCACAAGCGAAAACAGTTCACCATAGTCTGAGCTCATTAAATGCCAAGCCCCACACTTGGGACGCAGAATGTGAATTCATTTGAAGTAGGGAGGTGGTCTTTTGCCATTTCTTCATCCTCGTGCCTGCCTACTTATCTACTTCTTTACCTGCTTTTCTATTATTTTTAATGTTTCTTGCACACAAACACGTTCTTACTTGGTGATCTGCCTTTCCTTCCATTTCTTATACACCTGCTTTAAAAATCTCTGCTCATCTGAATGTGCCTTATGGAGCCTTGCTGGTTTATTCTGATGGCTTTTAGTTTAGATTCTCTTTGGGAATGTGCCCCAGTATCTTCCGTTTAAGAAGCTCCCATCCAAGTGTCTCAAGTTCAGTCAACACACGCCATTCTCCCTCTCACTTATTCACCCCATTCAGTTCTGTTCTCTTCCCAAGTTTGGTAGGGCTAGCTGGGCAGGAGGTCCACTATGAAGTGAACCTCAACTTCACAGGGGCAACAAATAGTTCCTCCTTGTCCTGGAGAAAAGAAAAAATGGAAAATGGAGTGCTACAAGGTTCTGTCCTGGGACTGTTGCTGTTCAACATCTTTGTAAAGATGTACTGTATATGACTTGGATTGAAAGAACAGAGTGGATGCTTAACAAATCTGCAAATATTACCAAATGGGGAAAAGGTACCTAATACCTTGGAAGACAGGCTCAGGATTCAAGATGACCTCAATGGACTGGAGAACTGGGCAAAAATCAGGAATATAAACGTTGACATTTAAGCCGGTAAAAATGCAAGATGCGCCAATACAGGTCAGTTGTACCTGGTCTGATAGTAGTACAAACGAAAGAGATCTAGGGGTCTTCCTAGGCCACAAGCAAAACATGAGCCAAGAGTGTGATGTGGCTGCACAAAGGCTGCTGCTTTGGTCAGACCTCACCAAGAACACGATGTCCTGTTCTGAGCCCCACACTTTGAGAAGGACATCAACAGCTGTGAGGCGTTGCTCTTCTTTGGATACTTTTAAACTGCGGGGGGAACACTCATGTCAGAATTTCGTACTCCTGTATTGGCATGAGATTGGACTAGATGATCTTCAGGATCACTAGTATAGTGGACCCAGGGCTCACAGGCCCTCTCTGAGCAGCAGCGATACATGGCATCATCTAACTTTCCCCTGTTTGCTATGAAATTTGCAGTAATCTTCACAGCAGCTGGTAGAGAAACAGATTTTCCCAGGAAGAATTTGAGGGCAGCCTGGTTTTGAATGTGGAGTTAAGAGCTATTAACTTTACACAAGACTTGCTCTTCATCTGATGATGCGGACTGACCCAGCTACCAGCATTTTTGAAGCTCCTTATGTGGCTGGCTGGCTAAGATAACTATCATGACGAGCAGCTGCACGTCCAACTTTACCACTTACATCACTACCTATTCTATAGTTCTTTTGAGTCTGAAGGCTCTCTGACCTCACCCACCAGACCCAGATGGTTCTAAGTATAAAACAACCCCACAGCAAGATAATTTTGTAGTTAAACATGAACTTGTGTGGAGTAATAATTTTGGGCACATTATGAGAAGGCAGGATTCTCTGGAAAAGACGACAATGCTAAGATGGGAGGCAACAGGAAAAGAGGAAGACCAAATACGCGATGGACAGACTTCCTAAAGGAAGCCACAGGCTTGAGTTTACAAGAGTTCAGCAGAGGTGTTGAGGACCAGACATTTTGAAGATCACTCATTCATAAGGTTGCCATGAGTCTGAGTCAATTTGAGAGCACATAACAACAATTTTTGTGCAGCAAGTTACAACTTCACTGCAGACCCTTTTCATTTATGGCCATTATCTTTTTCTCGGGAAGTTAAAAATGCTATTAGAAACAGAACTGGAGAACAGGACTGTCAGGCCCAATGGCATCTGCATATCAACATTTATCTCTCCTTTAAAATAACTGAAAAATGAAAATGAAAAATGAAATTGTCATTCCAGCTAATAAGCCTAAAGCAATGCAGCCACCGCTTTTGAATCGTTCACATTAAAGCAGCAACTACGTTTTACTCAAAAAAAGGCTCATATTGAAAACATCTTTAAACAAGGAAGGAGGGCTCCATGATGGCTCTGGACAGCTCAGGATCGGGAATCCAAAATGGTCCATGGCAGGGCTGGTGAGGGGTTGGGGGAGAACACCCTGTGCCAGGTGAAAAAAACCTACCCTCACGAAAGGGGACCGAGATGGCAAAGCCTCCCTTGCCAAGAACCTTCTCCCAAAGCACCCCAATAAAAGAGAGCTTTCATTTCCCAATAGCTATTTCTGTCAGGCTGGGAATATCCAAAGCCACCAATAAACAGTCCTTTAAAAGCCATTTCTTTACCAGTTCAAAACAGTATTAGGACTGGACACATCTTAAGCAGCAAAGGGTTTCATGGAATATGTTTTACTTCAGAGGTCTTTTCTAAATCCGTTTGTTAAATGTTCAGGGACAATTTAACCAAAACTAAGAAAAAGGGAGAAGAAATTAAATATTTTTCCCTTTGATTTGGTTAAATTCCCTCAGTGGCATACCAAAACTGTGGAAACATCAGGAACAAACGCATCAAATCCCATTTTCTAAGGACTCCTTCACAGTACTGCTTTTCCTTACTTAACCCCAAAGATGCCTCAAGGTCTCCTATACCTTTCACAACAGATTAGAATGTGAAGTAAAAGCAGCAGAGCCCTCCCAAGACTGTAGAAGGTCACGCTATAGAGTTAAAAAGGGCCTGCAGGAATAAATGCTCTTCTCTGTTAAAGGCCTCTTTACCTATGAAATCTAGCCCACCAGGAAACGGATGGTTCCGCTAGCCTTCCACGTTGAAGAGGTTTCTGATGGCGAGAGATTTTTCCAGTTGGCAATTCAGTTGTCATCTTTTGATCTTGGTTATCCACATGCTAATATCACATCCTGAAGAGATCATATCCAATCACTGGGGGTATCTGGCCAACAGATCATACACCCTCTGAATGTCAACTAAACAAATTGAGGCCGCATTTGCCCTGTCTTCACATTTTCACAACAGTAGCACAAAGGTACAAACCAACACTCTTCCCCTGAAGAGCTCTTGAAGTACACAGAACAGAGGTCGGGGATGTTGGGGGGCGGGGGACAGAAATTCCAATGGTCTTATTTACAACACCCTGTTTAAAAATAAAGCTCCTTCCGTTTAGTTCTCAACAAACTTGAAGCACGGTGCTTGTTGTAAAAGACGACATATCACTCCATTCAGCACCCTCAGATTTTACTAAGGCAGCCCCCCCATCCCCCACCCACCCACCCACCCACCACCCCATGAGGAGAGCTCATGCAGGATAAGCCAAGGGCAAAGCACTGGGATCAAAATTCTTTACTCAAGAAACTCAAAATTTAAAAACAAAACAAAACATCATGGTGAGAACAGCATGATCGGATTTGTCCATACATCATCATCGCACAACAATTCATGTCAACAATTCATCAGCTGCCCGATGTCACCCTCGCCTTGTGTGAAGAATCATTTCTGCAGCTCCTCGGTGCCGTCCCATCCACCACACAGGTCTGCTGACATGAGAGGTGACTTGGAAAACAGCAAAGGGCGAGAATCATACACGGAAAGATGCTGGTGATGCTCGACCGTACGGCGTTTCTCTTCAGAGGCACTAACAGAATGAGGGAACACTTTCTTCCACTGGACTTGAAAATATTCTCTTTTATACAAAGAATTGTGAAATACAAAACGAAAAAGTAAAAAAATATTGTTTCCCCTTCCCCTTCCCCTGGCAGACTTCAAATGCATATTATGTAAAGCTGAGGCGAAAAATGCATTTTCCCGTAAAGATACATGACCTACCATTCTACTATTATCCCTCTGCTGCTCCCCACCTCTAGTTCAATAAGGTACTAGATGTGGTATCATTCGGGTAATGGCTTTATATTTAAGATATATATATATATATATATA